TCTCTACTTTGTCTCTTTCGTGTTTCGAAAAAAGAAGAATTCTATTCAGAGGCGTGTTTTAACTTGTCTTTTCTATCGTCGTAGCTTGAATTATAGAAAACAATATAGTTCAATATAGTTCTACGGTAAGCTAAGAACATGAAAGTTGTATCTGAGTTACGAAGCTTCAACGAACCCCCCTTCAACTGATCTCCAATATAATTTTCAATTCACTGAAATGACTGTTTATTCGACCGTTTTCATTGCCTTTGGCTTAGTTAACTGGGAACTCCTTCAAAAAGTTTTTGAACACAATGAAAAAAGGGAACCTTGTTAAGGTTAAGTAGTTTGTGTCAACACTGAAATTTTTAGGGTTTTATCAATACAGATTATTACACTGATTTATCCGGCTTTTAAGAGAATTGCAATTTGTAAGGGAAGTCGAAGAGACGCAAAATCAAATAATCCAAAATAATGATTTTTTTTGAATACGGCACTGAAAATACAGAAAGTTTAATTGGTAAGTAAGTGGCACTCGTTTTGGTCAAAAAATTCCCTGTAAAATGTAGGCTATTCAACCCAAAGATTGTAAATTTTAGTGACATGATATTCACTCTATGAGATACATCGCTAATCCACAGTAACCGAGAGAAAAGCTTAGCCGATGAAAAATTTTAGAAAACTCGAAATTTCGTTTTGCAAAATACTCAAGAACGGACAGTCCACGTAAAAGCACTCAGGCTGCTCTGGCAACAGCTTTCATTTAAATGGCCAAACATTAACTGACTTTCATCTAAAACTTGAACCAAGAGTATCATACAAATGTACTTAGGTCAATGGTACATGTATTCATGAGGGTTTCATCTTAAAATTAAGTTAGAATAACCTTTAACAGCATTATAAAGAGCACCACATGAAAGTTTTGCTCAGTCGCTTTCGCGTTTGATTTTAAGTTCGAAATTAGGTGAATGCTTGGTAAAACCTCTAGCTACCATTCTTTAAGCCAAAAGGGCGAACGAAAAACCTGTTTTTGAAAGCGTTAAGATACAATAAGGTACTCTAAGCCATAGTTCGATGTAGCGTAAATTATTGTTCTTATTTTTTCCCTTGTCCTAAAAACATAGTTCAAACACATAATTTATTATAAAACTTTAGGGGCAAAAGGCAACGATGAAACATTAACGTTTTGTACTTACGGTTTGGGCTCGTTCAGCCAGTTCTCACAACTTCAAGCCGCACCGTTTCGCAATGTAATGAAAATCTACAGAATAGGATTACTATTTATAAGATCCCTTATCAGGACCCTTTCGCTAAATTAAACAGTGTTACGTGCTTTTTAGAGTCCATGTTTGCACTCTCATCACAAAGAAAAGTGTCTTTTCATTTCGTTGTCCTGAGAAACCTACAGCTGTTCAACCATGATACAACTGAGATTGTATTAGCTGATCTGCAGTTAGTTAAACAGCGTTACATGTTTCTGTTTGGCACTAATCATTATCTTTTAGTGGTAACTTTATTCAGTTGCCGGCTTTTCAAAGTAGTGTGTATACAAACGATACACAAACGTGTAAACACTACCTTTTGGCAGATCATAAAGAAGAAAACGATGTTATCGGATGTTTTAAAATATATAGGCGTTGCTCTATACAACCGCTTATCTTTCCAAAGCTCAGAAGATGACCGCGAAATCAAACATAAAAATCTTTGAAATATTGTCGCTGGGGAAACGTACAGTGTAACAGAGGGGCGGGACTTAAACAGTTAAATAGACCAATTAAACTTTTAACAAGGGTGTAATAAATGGAAACTTTCCTATATCAAAGGCGATGACATCATTTACACCAAACACAGAGCAGCTGAACAAAAAAAGTTGTCTTCCATGAAAATAGTAATTTTCTATTGTTCTCTTGATGTTGAGTTTAATCAACCGCTATTTACACAAACGCCTTGAACACAAGCTTCCATAGAGCATTGTACTTACAATGTAAAGTAAAAGTAAAAGTTGTAGTAACACTATATTAACATCACAACGAAACAAAACCTTTCAGGGCTTGAAAAAATGTTCAGAGTGGCGGTACGATAGAGCTTGGTCCCGTATATATATATATATATTTTTTTTTTAATTACAATTTAATGCCAACAAATTAACATTGCGATTTCGACTTTAAATTCAAAGTTTTGTAACAGAGCTCAGCAAATCCTTGCTGTTCTCCTTTAGCAAAATCGCACGTTCCAGAGTTTTTGAAAACTCCACTAGTCCTTCGTTATATTTTCGCCTAACCCGAATACTCTTGTCCAAATCAGATCAAAGCTCGTTTAATTCACCAACACTGAGAGTTAGGGGAAGAAAGGACGGAGAAACAAATTCAAGATTAACTAGGAGTAGGAAAAGAAAGTCAGTCAGTGATAAAGTTTTTTTCTCAGTTGTAAATGCAGACGACAGAGTTGTTTGAAGTCATCTTAACTCACATTTTTGAATGCGAGGGAAAAAAAACATTAACTCTTGAAAGTGTTTTATGGGGGTGAACTCGTTGTCGTGTGTTTGGGAAATGCATAAAAAGTGAAATCACGGTATTCTGTTTGCGTGCATGCCTTCAATCTGCTCAGTGCAATGTTGGGAAACCTGCAGCATCAGTTTTATTTATATTTCTTTACTCCTTAGTCTGGGTAACAAGCTTGACTTCAATCTTTTTAGATTGAAACGAAAGGAATATATAAGATATTAACTAAATTTTTTTTCGTTTCATTTCCTCACAGCAAGACCTTTTAGCTATATCGGCTATCGGCCTGTTACCTAGATCGTTATCAAATCTCTCTTTCCCCATTTATTTGAAATCCTCCGACACTAATCAACACATTCAAGAGTGGAAAGATGAATTAAATCTGTGACAAATGATGGGCATTAGCTACACGGGATCTGACTTCATCAGCGAAATAAATGAGATGGCATTCAAAATTTTTAACTATGATAACGGTAACAGTTTTCTTTTAGTGATACCAACTTCAGGACGTTCATCTTTGAGATAAGAGGGTGACTGTATTAATGGCTTTCGTTTTAGCCATTATATTAAACTTTATCTCGGCCACAAAAAGTGCCGTGTAAAAACAAGACGAGTCGTGACATGCCAGTTGTACGTGCGCTAAGAAAGGCGTCGTTCGCGCTAAAAAGTAATACATCTGAGTTTGCAGGCCGGACTGGTACCCTAATAAAATCCAAATTATTCATTTCGGTCCGCCACCTTTTAAATTCAGGGCTTACATAAGCATGACAAGACGCACGTCGTATTTGCCAAGTACCATGTTTAATCACACACCTTGTAACATACATAGAGAAGACTCGGAACTGTCAGAGAAATACGCGCTCTTGCAAAGAAAAACTTGCGAATTCATGTGCGAAACTACAGTAGACATTAAAGAGAGAAAGGCCGAAAACCGTACACCAACCAAAAGGACCGCAAAACTGACGCTTTTCGTGCCTAAAAATAAAGACACGTCTTACGTACAAACTGCAAGTTAATTGTGTTGAACTTGTTGATAGAGCGACTTAGTAAATATACAGCGACAACCTGAATCTATATACCTTCATGTCGAAAGCGAACTTACGATTTAGTCAAACTGTGGCCGGATTTCCCCAGGTAGCATTCTTACAGCATTAAAACAGGTTAAATTTTCAAAGTTGAAGCGGAAGATAATAATGAACACAAACGTTCAATATTACACGTAACTGAAACTCTTAGAGGAATTTGAATACTGAATACTTGTAAACGAAAAACTCGAACGAAAAGAGCCATAAAAAAGGAAACACCTGGATAATTTTCCCATGAAAATTATCCAGGAGTATCCTGGATAATTTTCCAGGAGTATCCTTGATAATTTTCATTATTCTCTTTCGACAACTGAGTGTTTTTTATAATTATTTACAACATTGAAGCTCAGAATTTCAGTCAACAGTCATTACAATGAACAATAAATCTCTTGAACCTTTAAGCGGTATTGTTATCTTTCACAAAATACGTTTTTAGGATGACAATCTTCTTCTCCTTCAATACGACTTCTATTCAAACGCAAAGCAACAACTTATTAATGCGGATGAATACGAGTTTTAAAAAAAGAAAGCTCGAGTTAAAGTTGTGGTTTCTAGTAAGTCAATTGTCACCCTCGTTTATTTCATTTCTAGCTTTCCGATTGGCTCACACTCTAATTATTTCAAAATGAACATACACAAACAATATTACCTGATAAAGTGATTTATTTCATCAATTCATTGTGAAAATTTATATTTCTGTGAACAACGTGACCTTGTTATTTTTAGAGTCAAAAAAATTGTATTTATTTTCTAGGTTTGTACATAAAAAAAAAAGATTCCAACAAAAAAAAAATTGCAATAAAATTTGCAATATTGAAAAATGTTATCTAAGCATAATGAAAAAAGTGACCAGCACTTTCATCACAAAATTATGTAATTTTTTGCCGTTATTTTACAGTTTAATTTAATCTAAGGGAAGAACCACTAGGGTAGGGGGGAATATCTCCCCTGATAATTTTCCAAATAGTAGAAAAAGAAAAACAGTGCGAGCACTGCTCGCTAAATTATAGAGAGTTCGTAAGGGTAAAACGGTCGTGTAATGTTCAAAGGTTACAACAAAAATGAAGCTGAAAATGTTCTCCCCTCCCCCCAGTTACTTTGTATGGTCCACTCCCACATGTATGTGCATTTCATTTGACAATGGGATTGCATCTTCCGAAAAAAAAGGTTGCAATTTGGTTTGAAGGTTTTATAGTTTGCTCATATCGTATATGGCAAAGTGTTGGTTATATCGAATCTTTATATTATTCTGAAAAAAATCTACATTAACACACAACTTTTTCAAGATCGCACAAATTCTCTCACTAGACTAGTTGATCGGTCAGGTTTTGCCGCAATTAAATCAAGAGCAATATCCAGAATCAATAATTTAAGTGATGCATAGCACTCCTTTCTGACTTCGGTTTGAAAAGTTGTTATTTCGCGAGCACATGTAATAAAAACACCCTTTGTTGCTAAATTGCAGCATAATGCCCCCAAAGGATGCTGGTGCATTGTTCAGTAGAGAATCCATTTGTGGTTTCTTTGTTTCCACAGACTTCGCGTCACATTCCTGGCTTTTCCGTAGGCAGGTGTAGTACCCTTCAAAAATGAAAAATAATTGATTGATGTTTTGATCTGAAGCTTATGATTTTAAAAGAATAGATTAAAGGTTTTTGAACTAAATTATCACAGGCCGTGTTGTTGTTGTTGTTAGTTTTTCCCCTTCTTTCGCGGTTTTGTTTTCTTTCAAGATTTCGTCAGTTTAAGCTTGCAGTTACCTTTCAGTTACGAAGTCAAAGCTTTCAGCAAAGAACCTGAGGGCTAATAATCGTTTTAAAGGCTTTTTTTGGTGGACTCGAGACGTCTAACAGGAAAAAGAAGTTACGCATTTCAAAACATGCCGGTTATACTTCACACATGTATGCTAAAGGGATCTTGGGTCTCAAAATGTTAAGGGGCATGCACATGACTGAAAGAATAGTGGCATGATGAAACTGGCTCTAGAAACAAAACGAAACACAACGTAAAACAAGCTATACTGCGGTCAAATAAAGTTCAAAAGTCTCTTGACATACAGTAGGGATCATAATTATTGTTGGAGAATCTTGAACCTGGCATTTGGGAGTGCTAAACATGCAGACATACTGAGAAATCTGAGAATTAGCATTTTCCTTCGATGTACATGAGGTGTGGAATTTAATGTGTCCAATGTACCTGCACTTGCTAAGCTCACAGCAATGTCCTCTGGTTTGGGAGTTTTTAATTCTAGACTTGTCCAAACAGCGGTGGCACCCTGGAAAAGTTTGGACACTTCCCAAGGGAGGGGATAGTTGTCCAAAGAATTTTCTGTTTCCACCATGTTATTTCTGTCTGTACCTGTGAAATATAGACAGGTTGTATTTAAGCTTGTGAACAGCAATACGTCTGTCTTACACGTATACTGTTGAATAAGGCTAAAATTGGTGCAAAAAAATGCTTGCTATGCAAAAATGCCACTGGGAGAATAGAGTAAGGGGGTGGTTGAATGAGCAGCATGGAGGCTATACTCTCATTTAGTCCACTAGCGCTACATAAACTGACTGTATAAAAGTGTCACGTACTATGTTAAAGGATGAGCATTATTTACATAAATCTTGCATGTAGCTTACATAGTTATTAGCTCCAAACTTGAACATGCCAGTAACCGTCTCATTGCGCATCTGTGATTCTGTGCACTGTGCACTGGCCAACTTTGTGCATCCTTAAATTTTCTAGATGCATCATTGGATAGTTTATTATATAACTGAGAAAACTAATTCATTGTGATTGGCTGAGAGCAGCCCAATTT